GTACAGCTCGCTAAAAGCATACCACATGGTAGAACTTTTGGAACTACCCGAAAAGACTAAAAAAGCTAACTTTTGTGTAGTTCCAAAAGTGGCCGCCAGGGAAAAAAGAGCGCTAGTGGCGGTCGACGCTAGCGCTACTTTCTCTCCTGGCGGCCATTTTTCGAACTACGAACGTTTTACCCAGCTGGCCGCCCTCTTTACCGCCCCTTCTCCCCTCACCCGGCGCCGGTCGACACCAGCGCCTCTGGCGGCTTTTTTATGAACTACGAACCACAAGGAACTTCCCTGGTCGTAGAACTAGGTGCGTGATTTTAATCATATTAGATGTCAGATGTTTTTATTCTTTATTGTTACAAATCATTTACAATGTAAGTGTGTCTTCCCCAAACAGCTGGCTTGTTTCTGCTGGTGACTTTGGGCGCCTTTGAAAACCTGTAAAAGAATAGAAACAAAATTGAAGTTATTTGAAAGATTTACTGGGAGGTGTTCTGGTTCATATGTATCAATGCGATGCCAACTCATAGAATGAACTTTACATGTTACAGGTGGCCAGAGCCAACATCAAGTCCAGGCACATCCCTCGGCTTACGCAAAGCCTAATACACAATCCAATGAATGAAAGTGTCAACAAATGTGATGCCAACTCATTGAATGAACAGGTGGCCAGAGCCAACATCAAGTCCAGGCACATCCCTTTGGACAAGAACGAGCAGCATCGACTTCTTATTTTACAAGGACTGTACCATACTAATGAAATAAATAGCAGCATTACTAGAAGTTACACTCTGATGATTTGCCTCTGCTTCCCCTTTACTAAAATCAACACGCGATTATACATATTTTAAGAGCAAGTTACAAGCGGTATACATGGAGTACGCATAGAAGTAATCAACAAACGACAATTTAATTTAGAAAACAATTTAGAAGTGAAAACTTAAATGGTCAATGCAAATAACTAAATTCTCAAAGATATTAGAACGAGGTACCTTCATACTCTCTCGGCTTACGCAAAGCCTAATACACAATCAATGAATGAAAGTGTCAACAAATATGACAAAAATTAAAATTTTGAGAAATTTAAAAGAAAGAAACATACCTGTGGTCTGTTAGGTGTCCACAAAGGTGTCTGCGTCCGCAAAGGTGTTATTTGCAAGGGTGGGTTGCCTCTACTGGAGCGAGTCTTGTGCACACCAACTGATAAACAGAAAAAGAAAAACATCCATAAATTAGAGAAACAACACCCAGAAACATATACTTCCAAGTTCAAACAAATACTGTATTGCATTAATATCAAACAAAAAATAACAATCTAATAGGGTTTTGTGAGTGACACTGACGATTTGAATTCACTAATTCCCTCCAATAAAATAGCAATACACAGTAAGGTACAAATTTTGGAATCAAGTAACAAGCTGTATACATAGAGTAAGCA